ACATATGGCTCTTGTGGTCTACTCTGGATGTCCTAAATCAGAACCTCAAGGCTGGGGCCTGAGTATCTGTCAGCCTTTGAAAATTGCTTCTGAAGTTCTAGTGCTGATCAACTAGACCAAGCAGGAGCCCCTCCTAGGGGTTCCCTTCTCCCTCCCTCTCCCCATTCCCCAGAGCCAGCAATTGTCTGCAGACATGCCTAGAGGTCTCAAGGATTTTGCCAACTCTGACTTCTTTTTTGATCTGGGGATCTTAGACTTCTGAGTCTTCCGCTCAAGACTAGGCTCTCCCCTAGAAAAGGGGAAGAAAACATACGAGGGTAAATGGAGCGGGGAGAGAGGGAGAAACTTCAAGGACCGCAGTCTGTCCTTCCAACTTCCCTGCAGTGGGGCTGGAGGGGTAGTTGCCTTGCACAGGGCCAACCTGGGTTGGATTGCTAGCACCCTGCATGGTCCTTTGAGTGTGCCAGGAATGATCCCTGAGTCCAGAACCAGGAATGAGCACTGAGCACCGCCAGATGTGATCCAAAAACAATGAAACAAAACAAAATAAAAGCAAATAAAAAATCCCATAACTTCCCTGTGCTATCTGACCTTTGTTTACACTCACTGTGGTGCAGCTGGACTCCTAACCCTAAATGTCCTGGGATGGAATGGCTTCTGCAAAGCAGGGACATCTACAGAGCAGGTAAGTGGGTCCTCCAAAGCTCTTTGCATCGCCAGGGGGAAAAGTCAACCTGAAAGACACACCCCTCCTCACCAAGTGGCAGGATCACTCCCAAATGTCAGCTGTGCGTGAGCACTTACTCTACACTGAGATCCCCAAGGACCCCTGGATGAAAGCAGCACCACAGTGAATCATGCAGTTTCCTCACCAGCCCTCGTAACTGTTTCCATGTGCTTTCGCTTTGCCCTAGACCTTGAGTCTACCAGACTAGGGATAAATTCATATCCTAAATGGCCACAACGAACAGAGTGGCAGCTGTTCTGCGCGCGCACACACACACACACACACAGGGGTTGGGGGGGGGAGTAGATGAGGGCAAGGGTCAAGAGCTCCTTGATGAGGCATTTTGGACCATGAGACAGGGTGGCACAGACATCACCTGTCATGGTGGGGAGAGAGCCTCATCAGAAGCAGGGTCTAGGATAAGAACGGAAGAAAGGAAGAAAGGAAGAAAGAAATAAAGAACGAAAGAAAGAAAGAAAGAAAGAAAGAAAGAAAGAAAGAAAGAGAAAGAAAGAGAGAAAGAGAGAAAGAGAGAAGGAAGGAAGGAAGGAAGGAAGGAAGGAAGGAAGGGAGAGAGAGAAAGAAAGAAAGAAAGAGAGAAAGAAAGAGAGAAAGAAAGAGAGAAAGAAAGAGAGAAGGAAGGAAGGAAGGAAGGGAGGGAGGGAGGGAGGGAGGGAGGGAGGGAGGGAGGAAGGAAGGAAGGAAGAAAGAAAGAAAGAAAAAAAGAAAGAAAGAAAGAAAGAAAGAAGAGAGAAAGAAAGGGCTACAGGTGCACCTTGATAGGGCAAAAAAACAGAATTATAATGTTGGGGCAGATACTGCAGTGTTCTAGGGAAAAACAGCAGAAGTTTGAGAGTCACTAAATAGAATTAGATTCTGGACCTTGGGCTGGGCCCCACCAGTTACAGGCACTACATATCCCACAAAAAGACAAAGGGCGACTTAAGTTACAGCGAACCATGGGAAAGATAAATGAAATATGCTAATTTTTTCTTGAATTTGTCGGCTGGTAGTAAATAAACTATGAATGGGCTATCTTTTTCTTTTCTCCTAGGATAGGTGTGGTGTCACAAAGGGTGCAGCCTGATCATTTCCAAGGGGGTCCAAGTAGGGATTCAGTGGGTTGCTCACAAGCCAAGGGTTCTATCCCCAGCACTTCCCCATGCAGATAGCTGTCTAGCAAGCACCAAGAATGTGACCCCAGGCATTGCTAAGCATTGTGAAGACAATAATGACAACAACAACAACAACAACATAAAACAAAGGGAAGGGAAGAGAGGGGGGATGGTCTGGGAAGTGTATAAATTTGGGAGGAAAAACTAGTTGAAGCAGAAATGCAAAAACCCTCTTATTAAGGCAGAAAGTTGCTATCTTCCCATAGTTTTATATCCAGTGATAACAGGAAGTCAAAGCTTCAACTATCCCATATAGTTTGTTCATTGGGTCTTTCTAAAACAAACAAACAAACAAACAAACAAACGAGCAAACAAAAAGCCCCTGTGAAATGAAGTCTACTTTCTTCCGAGTTACCCATTACCCAATGCCTAATGTCTCTCCTAAGTTAAACTAGCGCAGGAGAGCAGAAGATGTTTCTCTGATGCTCAAGTCTTTTAGGGATCAAGAGAAGGCAGTTTTTTTTTTTTTTTTCCCCGCTTAGAAGGGTTGGTTCTCCTTCTGCAGTTGGCAGAAGGTCCTCTTAAGAGCTTTGCTGACTTGCTCAACGCACAGAGTGTGACCGAGTTGCGCCGGCCTGGTTCAAGCAAGTAGAAACCTGCCGGCAGCCCAGTTCTGGCGTGCATGAGTGAGCCTGCCCTGGGCCCTGTCAGTAACTCCCCAGGCCCTCCCAGGCGAGGAGCAGCTCCTGAATCCGGGTCCTGAATCCTCATCTGGACTTTGAAGTTTGATTTCGTATTTCAACAGAGTTGCCAAAGAAACTTATATTCTACAGAAATGGAAAGAGCCCCTTGGGCTGTGAGCCACACAATGACCACACTGCAGCAATCTTCACAAACCTCCCCCCCTCCCATTCCCACCCCCACCCCCCACCTCAGCTACACCTTCAGGATGTACAAGGAGGTATTTAGGTCACTCTCCTGTGCAAATATCAAAAGAACTTATTTTAATATTTTGTTTACTGTAATCTCCTAGGAGTAAAAAAAAAAAAAACAAAATCCAAAAACGGTGCCTTTATTATATTCTGTAGTGGCTCAATCAATATTTATTTTCACTATGCCTTGAAAGCAAAATGTATTTACAGATGTTAAAATCTGAAAACTGCTGCAAAGTACGTACACGCTTTAAGTGACAGGATCGGTTTTATTTCCGCATGCTGCAGCACTTGCTCCAGGCATGGAGCTAAGAGACCTACAGGTCACAATGGGTCTCTACGACTAGTCACTAAGCAGAAGTATACGAGAGCTCCCGGTTTTAAAATTTAGCCCACAACCAGAGCACAAGACACTCAGAAGGAAGATCCGCGATTTTTGTTATCCTCTTTGATTCTCTTTGCGGTGACTTGCAGTTTGAGCTTGGAAATAACTTGTTTAGAGCTAACAGGTTCCCCAACTTTTCCGAGTTTATTAACGCTAGATCGCTCAGCTATATCAAACCCTGCCTTAAAGAAAGTCATCAAAAACACACACAACATCACAAGTCCCAGCTATGCCACTCATTGGGAACTTTTTTTTTCCTTACCAAAATATAATTCTTATAAATGAAAGGCTCCCTCAGTTTTCATTTCCCTTAGGGGTACTTCAGCAGAATTTCCAAACGTGATTACAGAGATAAAGCAACTCACCTATTCCAAGAGTATTTCCTTGCAAGACTCTCTGCGAGAGAGCACAGCACGGAGTTTCATTCTGTTCAGTCTTTCATCATTTCATCGAAGACAAAGAATGCCCTCAGGTCAAAGCCGGAAGCAAAACACTGTCCATCCACCCAAGATGGGAGGCTGATTTTCTGCTCCCTAAATCCAGGAGCCTCATTCCCAGCCCTCCCAGCTGGCTGCCTCTTGCTTTCAGGCCAAGGTGCCCTCCAACACCTTGTACTTATCCCTGCAACGCACTCTTTAAGGGTTGGCTGCACCCAGGGAACACGTCATGGGCCAAGGCAACACCTTCGGAGGGTGGGAAGCTTTTCAACCAGGAAGACATGCCAAAAATATTTCGTCGTCAGCTCAATTGCATGTCAGGAAAGCGTTGCTGGTCTTGAGCACAACAATCCTGCACGGAATGAGTCAGGTTGAACTGATTTGTACAGTTCCGGACTGGGAACTTGCTGGCGACACCTCTGCGGCTGGGAAAACTTTGGCTCCCTCGAATTTAAATTCTGGGTAACTGGTTCAGAACAGTGATCGGAAGATCATTCTAATCACAACCTTATGTTTCCCTCTGATAGTAAAGTAGATTCAATGGCAGTAATGCAAGTTTTTCTTCTGATTTGAATTTTGACTTTCTAGGGTTGGAGAGATAGTGCCTAGGTAAAGGCAAGAGCCTTGCATGTGGCCCACCCACTTTGGTCCCCCAAACTGCACACAGTCCCCTTGAACAGAGAGCCAAAAGAAACCCCTGAGTACCACTGGGTGTGCCCCCACCCCCTACCCCCAACTCTACTCCCACACCCCATGACTTTACTCTTCCGTTCATTCCACTCATATTCATGGGCTGGAGCGATAGCACAGCGGTAGGGCATTTGACTTGTGCGCAGCCGGCCTGGCCAAGCCAGGTTCGATTCCTCCGCCCCTCTCCGAGAGCCTGGCAAGCTACCGAGAGTATTCGCAGCATCTCGCCCGCCCGGCAAAGCCTGGCAAGCTACCCGTGATGTATTAGATACACCAAACACAGTAACAACAAGTCTCACAACGGAGACGTTACTGGACCCGCTCGAGCAAATCGATGAACAATGGTAGGACAGTGCAGTGCTTCTCATATTCACTGTAAAATAACTCCTTGGGACCACAGATACAGTAGCAGTTGTGATAGAAATGCACACTTTCTTGGAGCAGTTGCGAAACTGCCAATAATTATTTCCTAACATTTAACCCATTCAAGACTAATGTGCTGCCTGGGACACAGAGAGTTGGTTACCAGCTAGAGTTTAGGTGAGCCCAGTTTTGCGATTCCATAAGAACCCTGTCCTCATGCAAACTAAATCCAGTTTCCTTTGTTACTATGTGAATTTAAACTTTAAGAACACACGTCAAACATTCCAAACACAAAAGAAGTTGCAGGACTCTGCGATCAGATGATTAATGAGCTGTCAGATGGTCACTCACCCTTTCTGCCCCAGCGACTGAAGCTTCAAATCTTTTCTGGATTTTCTGAAGGAGAAGAGCGAAGCAAGGGATGATTTAAAGCTCAGCCGAGAAGGAACAGCAGTGGAGTTTCTTTGGTTAGGTGTGGTTTTAGATCTTGACGCTTGCAACTCCATAGGATCTGGAAGAAAATTAAAAATGCTTGCACCATCAAAATATTTCCTGGTAAATATAAGACTTGGTTCGTGCTTTTCCATACCGGAGAGACACGATGGACCTCCACATGAGCTAAGTAAGGAAAGTCCTCAGACCTCTAATTTTGGCAGTAGAAGAATACTTTATACTTTTATAGTATTTTTATAATTGCTAACATGCTTTATTATTCTTACGATTATAGTCTGTGAAAGCAGGTTTTATTATCCTTATTCCAGGTTTTTTGTTTTGTTTTTTGTTTGGGGGCCACATATGTCGATGCTCAGTGGTTACTCCTGGCTCTGAACTCAGGTATTACTCCAGGCAGTGCTTGGGGGCCCTTATGGGAGGCCAGGGATGGAACCCAGGTCAGCCACATACAAGACAAAAGCTCTACCTGTTGTACTCTCACTCTAGAGCCATTTTTTGTTTGTTTGTTTTGTTTTGTTTTTGAAATACAAAAGCTTATTGGAAAGTAGAAGGGAAAGGAAAGTCCCCAAAAGAGGAGGAACTTAGTATGTTCCCAGGTTTGTATTTTTAATGCCCAGGTCTGCATTTTTTCAAAATTTTGCTTTTTGGGTTACACCCAGCGATGCTCAGGGTTACTCCTGGCTCTGCACTCAGGAATTACTCCTGACAGTGCTTGGGGGACCATGTGAGATGCCAGGGATTGAACCCAGGGCGGCCACACGCAAGGTAAATGCCCTACTCACTGTAGTATCTATCACTCTGGCCCCAGGTCTGCATTCTTAATAACTCTGCTATCTTGCCTGATTCTAAAACGGTGCCCCCCCCAACATATTACAATTACGTAATACAGTTAGTATAATTATGTATTCAGTTAACTATTTTTATTGTTTTGTTATAAAATTTTTGTAACTTGTAATTTTTTAAAAAACATGGAATACTCACAGATGTGCATGTCACCTTGTGAAAAGCCAGGCTGACCTATTCTGTATAGTTCTACTGTTATTTTATTTTATTTATTTTTTTAAGTGGCCATGCCTCGCTGTGCTCAGGACTTTCCTGGCTCTGAGTTCAGGCATCACTCCTAGTGGTGCTCAGGGGATTGTATAGGGAGATGGGGGTTGAACCTGGGTCAGTAGCATGCAAGACAAGCGCCCAACCCACTGTACAATCATTGCAGCTCCCTGTATCACTCTAATTTTGGCCTGTGTGCTGCCCTACACACAGCATATAAGATTCAAAACGTAGTCATTCTCTGCAATTCTTTGCCATAGGAAAATGAATCAGTATGCAAAATTTTTCTCACCATTTTCTGCCATGCCCTTTCTGAGCCTGTATGTAAGTGGCTGTTTTAACATTTGGCTAACATCTGTTTCATTGCAAAACTTTTTTCTTTGTATTTCTTCAAACCATTCGCCAGTCACTCCTTGGAGCCATCTGATGTCCCTCTTTGTCTTCTGAAGTTTGCTGAAATAAAACAAAACAACATCAATGCACCCTTTCGATTTTTTCACATCCAGTGCACACGCAAGTGATGGGTTCTAGCTTTTTCTGGGAAAGTCTACATTAACCACCAGCTGGGAAAGGTCAGCTCTAGACAGAATCTCCTCTGCAGCGCTGAGGACACATTTTAGCTTTATTCCCCAAAGTGCAATATTAAAATTGAAATTCTTTGCTAATGGTTAAACTATCCAACTATCCATAAAGTCAGTGAGGCAATACCGTGTGAGCAATATGCTAACACTGGACCTAACTGTGCAGCTGAGTGGTAGATATTTTAATAACATGGAGTAAAAACTAGAATATTATGATTCTGGTCACTCATTCATTCATTGATTGTCACTGTCACTGTCCTCCCGTTGTTCATCAATTTGCTCAAGTGGGCCCAGTAACGTCTCCATTGTGACACTTGTTACTGTGTTTGGCATATTGAATATGTCCCAGGTAGCTTGCCAGGCTTTGCCGTGCGGGCGAGAAACTCTCGGTCGCTTGCCGGGCTCTCCGGGAGGGGCGGAGGAATCGAACTTGGGTCGGCCATGTTGGCCGTTTGCAAGGCAAACTCCCTACCCGCTATGCTATCGCTCCAGCCCCATTCATTGATTAAAAGTTCATTAAACTATGTTCATGTGCCAGGCCCGCGGTAGGCAGTGGAGAATCAGCAGGAAATAAAACGGTTATATTCACCTTATTTGCCCACACATCCAGTGGTCAAGGATATAAGCTTACAAGAAATTGTTAAATGTACAGTCTTAAGTAATGGAATTTCTTTTTGGGGGCTCGGGGGTGGAGGTGAGGGGTGGGGGTCGGTGCTGCTCAGGGGCTACTTCCAGCTCTGTGCTTAGGGGTTGCTCAGACCATATGTGGTACCAGGGACGGAACTGGGGTTGGCCACTAGCAAGGCACACACAGTAACTAACCCCTGTGCTAGCTCTTCAGTCTAGTAATGGGATTCTTTTCTTTTTTTCTCACTCGGGAATCACTCCTGATGGGGCTAGGGGGAGTGAACGTAGCAGCAGCTGCAGGCGAGAATCCAACCCACCACACTATTTCTCTAGTTCACCAAAACAGAATTATTTATTTTTTTATTTCTGAGTCACGCCCAGAGATGCTCAGGGGTTAGTCCTGCCTCTGTACTCAGGAATTACTCCTAGCAGTCCTTGGGGGACCATATGGGATGCCAGGAATAGAATCCGGGTCAGCAGCGTGCAAGGCAAACACGCTAGCCACTGGGCTATCACGCTGGCGCCAACAGAATTCTTTAAGCACAAAAGTCCACGAAGAAACACACGACAGCTGCTTCTGTGCTCTGGTGAGTGTGATTTGAGACGAAGGGAAGTCCCTTCAAGGGATACCAGAACCTGCCCCCCACCTTCAGAATTCCAGGTGTGAAACTTCCTCATAACTTTTACCCTTCCTTCCTGCTGACTCCTTTTTATTATTGTTGTTGATTGACCAGATCTGGTAGTGCTGGGGTTCGCTTTCTGCTCAGTGGTCAGAAATTGCTCTTGGAGGTGTTTGGGGGACCAGGAGATGCCTGAATGCAATGCATACTCTCTGACTGGTTAGCTATTTCTCCAGTCCTTTCTTAAGGATGAAATCATCAAAATTCATGATTTGTTGCTGTTTTTTTTGTTTGTTTGTTTGTAGGTTGTTGTTTTTTGTTTTGTTTTGTTTTTAGTTTTTAGGCCTCATTTACTCATGCTTGGGGGCTATGGGCTATTCCTGGCTCAGTGCTAAGGGATTATTCCTGGTGGTGTCAGGGATCCAATGTGGGGTTCCATCCATCCCTTCGAGCTGTCTTCCCAGCCCAGTGATGGTTTTGGAATGGCATATCATTTCGCTCTATTTCAGACGGACCCTAGAATTATTTAGAGGTGAGAGGTGCTTAACCCAGAGGAAGGTGACCCCGGATGAGATGGACAGAGAAAGGGGTTTGTAAACCATGATGCCAAATCTCATAAAGCGGTCAGTCTGACAGATCTCTGAAGCCAGGCTGGTTGGGCAGGTCCGTGCCTGGGAGAACCTGCTGTTTGAGAAAGAATTTCACTTGACTCCACCATGGTTGACCCAGTGGCAGGATTTCGTGTGATTCACAAAAGGTAGTGAAGGAGAAAGCTGTAAATTTGGCTAAAGGCAATGAAATGGGATGTTTCCAACCCAGGTTCCTGCTTGGGGCCATGATACTGTCATTTTATAAAATAATTGAGAAGGAAGCCACAAGCCATCCTGTCTAGACTTGCTTTGTGAAAGCATCAGGCAGTCGTCATCGCACTGTCAGGCCCCTGCAGTGCCCCGACTCCCTCTGGCCTTGCTGCTTCTGATACCCACTCACCCATCTTCGCTGCCAGTAGACTCAGCGCGCACAAGCAGCTGCTTCTAACTAACTTTTTTTTTTTTTCGCTTTTTGGGTCACACCCAGAGATGTACAGGGGTTACTCCTGGCTCATACACTCAGGAATTACTCCTGATGGTGCTCGGGGGACCATATGGGATGCTGGGAATCAAATCCCGGTCAGTCCTACCCGCTGTGCTATCGCTCCAGCCCACCCCCTTCTTTTTCTTCTTCTTCTTACTAACTTCTAACAAGATTTTACCTCCACGCCTTTGGCACTGTCTTCCCCAAAGTGAGCTATGCAGTCCCTTCCTACGCCCCCCCCTGCCTCGCCCCCCCCCCCACACACACACTCTAGGAGTACTGTTAAGACTGTGGGGTGTAGGGGCTGGAGCAATAGCACAGCGGGTAGGGCGTTTGCCTTGCACGCGGCCGAACCAGGTTCGATTCCCAGCATCCCATATGGTCCCCTGAGCACCGCCCGGGAGTAGTTCCTGAATGCAGAGCCAGGAGTAACCCCTGAGCATTGCTGGGTGTGATCCAAAAAGCAAGAAATAAATAAGTAAAAAGGACTGTGGGGTGTAGTTGTAGTCTCAGGGCAATTGGAGGTGCTTTCTGTTTGATCTCTTCAGGAGCTAGGTTTTCAGGAGTGCTGATTCCCCCCCCCCCGCACCCCCCCAATAAAAGAGGTAGTTGGCCAAATAAGTTTGGGAATCTCCATTTAGCATTCACTTATTAATGCGCTGCGTTTGCATGCAACCACCAATTTCTTGAAGCCAGCCCAAATGACAGACCCCAAGATTCAGTCCAACCCCACCTCCACTTTTCAACATATCCCTTTCCTTTCAGAATTTGGTAATGCTGCCTACCACAGGAACACACCAATAAATAGAACTCTTCTTCCCCCTAAAGGTTACAGGTGTCATCAACTCTTCAAATAATGGCACTTTCCCCAGGATGCACTGCACACCTGTACAGCACCCAACACTGCCAGCTTCATTTCCAACCTACGTCCAACGGAGTCAGAAATCAGAATTTTGATGTCAATCCCCACATGAGTTTGAATTCTACCCAAGAAACAGATCTATTTGGGCACCCAAAAAATGTCATTTCCCCCAAGAACGTTTTTGTGACTAAGCTTTATGCAGCTACTGAAATAACCAGGCAGACAATGCAGCTTTCAGGACATGTGAGGGGGCTTCAAGTGAGGCAGGAAAAACAAATACAGCCTGTGACTCTGATCTGAGTGAGGTCTGAGGGATGTGCCCTCTTGGACACAGGGCAGAAAAATCACCTGGGGTCTCACAGTAATAAGAGCTTCCTCTATATTTGTAGCTTTTGAACTATTTTGTGTGTGTGTGTGTGTGTATGTGTGTGTATGTGTGTGTATGTGTGTGTGTGTTTTGCTTGTTTGTTTTGCTTTTTAGTTCACACCTACTGATGCTCAGGAGTTACTCCTGGCTCTACACTCAGGAATTACTCCTTCTGGTGCTCAGGGGACGCTGGGATTGAACCCAGATGGGCTGTGGGCTAGAAGGCAAACATCCTACCCTTTGTACTATTACTCCAGTCCCCCATGTTATTTTTAGTAAGTACAACAGGTAGGGCTATATTTTTACTTTTGTTAAATGATGATCTTTGAAAATTTCTATTATTCTTTCCCATTATCATTTTTCTTGGACTTGGAGTGGGGGTGGGGGAGTCAGTCACACCTTCAATCCTAACAAGATCACTGTTGCCTGCTGGGAGTCAGTGACCACAGAAACCTCTTCTGGCTCAGGCTAATCTGAAGAAAACATGATTAATCTGCACATGTGCTAGTGTTTGTCTCCCCGAAAACAATGAGAAATAAAATTCAGAGAGCAGTAATGCACAAAGGCATAAGAAAGGGCAAGGTTTCGAAGTGGTGATCCTTAAAGCAAAAATATTTCATAGATGATTCTGGGATTGTCTTCACTGGAGAACATGTACAGTCAGGAGCCAGAGAATCTGCAGGAAAGGTGGCACTATGTTTACCTATTACCAAGGAAGCAGCCTAAAGAGCTCCAGCCTTCCCTTCCCAGGGCGGGGAGACGAAGAAAGAAAACAAAGTGTTGTCTCCTCTGGGTACTTCTTTAATCTTCTATACTCAAATACCAGGGACTGTACAATGGAGATGAGGGAGGAGGTAGAGTTGAGCCATATCCCATGATACTCAGGGGCTACTTTTGGTTTTATGCTCAAGGGTCACTCTCGCAGGTGCTCAGGGGACTTTATGCCATGCCAACCATGAAAGCAGGCCTGCTGCATGCAAGGCAAGTGCCTTATCCTTGGACTATCTCTTCTGTCCCAAGATGATACATTTTACACGTATATTTATAACAGCTGGCTGGGCACAAAACATGGGATTTAGATTTGTTCACATACTTAAAAATGAAAATATTAGGAATGTGACTCAAGAGGTCAAGCAAGTGCCTTGCATGTAAGGGGTCCTGCGTGTTGATCCCAGGCATGCATGTCCTGAGTCCAACAACAGTGAGTGTGGCCCTGATGGTCCCAGAACACCCCAGGCCTGAGCATCTTGGGCCCAAGCACTGCTGGGAGTTCCCTTTCCTCCGCTCTGGCCCCACCTCCTGCTAATAAAAGTACTACTGTT